ATTTCAAGTAAAACTCAGTATGTAATATATCTCTTGCAGTTTGAAAAGCATAATTAACGGACAGACATCAAATCCGTAAAGAAAAAATGAACCTATGGCGTCCTTACAGTCCAGTTTCAACCTGAACCTCAGGAAACGAAGCTCTGGGTGTCCCGACAAGAAAAAGAAACTCCTGAAAAGCACTCGGCCAAAAGTTAAAAGTTCGAACACACTGGACGGTCGGTGGAGTGGTTATATCGGACTCGATCCGACTAAAACAGCACGCAGTCTCGGATAACAGCAGCCGGGGAACCTGGTGTAACCTGGAACCGCCGGTAAGCCGACGATCCCCGGGCCATCTACGGCTTACATGTGGCCTCTTGTGTGGGTCTTACGGTGTCCCCTTTCTATCGCTAAAGAGCGTGCGTGCTCCGGATCACGTCGAACCGCCACCTGCTTCGGCTAGGGTGACAGGTCGCCTCAAGCGGTCCGATAACAAGTGTTCTAGACTTTTTTTAATTTACATTAGTTCTTTATATATATATATAAATATTTAATTAATATGAAGGAAAAAGAAGTTGAGTAGCGGGAGCGCCGTGTCCACGGTCCGACCATCGTAGTGGTGGCATTCAGGCGTTGGCTCCTTGCGGATCAGACACAGGTGATCCCCAAAACATCCTTTCCCAGTGATCACCTGCGTCAGTCGGTATGAGAGGATCCCGTGATGCCACCAGAAAAAATCCTCCATAACGGGTCTTACCGCCGCGATGACGGCGTGCGTTTGCGTGATGTCCGAGGTCCCATCGGCCATCGAGTACGAGCCCCAGATACCTAATCGAGGGTTCGATGCCGATGCGAGTGCCTCCAACTATGAGGCTAGATCCCTCAGGTGGCTTCCTCCGCAGCCCATGGAAGAACAAGGCCTCGGATTTGTGCAGAGCCACCTCGAGACCCAGTCGCCATGTCCAAGGACACCGCCAACGCCCCCGCCCCGGAAACTGCTTCCTCCGCCAGAGCATTCACGCGCATGATCGCATCCAAGGTGGAGCGCCCCTGACGAAAACCGTACTGCTTGTCCGCCAGATCCGGCTCCACCATGACGAGATCCGTGACGTGAGTCCGCCGGGCGCCTCTCCTTTCGGATGAGGACCAGTTTCCCCGTCTTCCACAATTTCGGAAACTGGCCCCGCTCGAGACATGCGCTGAAGCACCCTCGCAGTCGGGGCTCGAGAGCCTCGTCATCTAAGGCCAGGACCCACGCTCGGCCTGGGATGCCATCGGGTGCCGGGGCGGTGTTTTTAGCTTTAAGCTGTAGCACCGTGACCCTTAGTTCTACCCAAGTGACCACAGGCACGTCGTCGTCATCCACGTTAGGCGTCTCAAGCGCCAGAGGCGGGGCCACCGAAGACACCGGGTGAGCGGCGGGGCCCATGGGCGCATCTTGCCCCTAACCATACGGTAGGGGCGTCCCCACGGATCCCGCTAAAGCGTCTCCAGCATCTCGCGGCGGGCCTCACTCTTGGCCCGCTTTATCGCTGCCTGAACGGTCCCTTGGCCCCTTTGACCCTGTATTCCGCTAACAGCTCCGCCTCTCGCGCTCGGTTTCGTACCCCTGATCAACACTTTTGTTATTTTAAAGTGTATTTTAGAAGAGACAGTAATCTAAAAGTAATCTAAAAATACTGTATTGTATTGAAATTGGGGTTTGAACATGGTAAAAAACTGTAAGAATGAACACTTTCATGAACGTCGTAGTCGCGTGATAAGCCTATCTGGGCCTATAAAGCCTATATAAAGATTTATTTACATTACATATTTACATAAATGGAAGACACATAAATCCCTAATCCTATTTACTACACTAATGTGTCTTACTGTAACCCATATTAGCTTGTTTATTGGCATACGCACTTGCACACCTACATATAAAATGGCTTATAGTAAGCCGTTATATGAACAATAGCATTACAAAAAGTTATGCTCGCGAAGCAGACGGCGGAGCGGGACCGGGAGAGGTTTAGGACTCTCCCGGCCCGCCAGGCCCGAGAACGGGACAGGTACCGCAGGCGACTCAGGCGCCGGAGGTCGCAGAACGACCTCCGTCCTCCATAAGCGCAGGCCTGGGGGTGACAGGTGAGGCCATCTGTCACCCTAGCAGAAGCAGGCCGGGGTGGCGACGAGCGTGTTGCGAAGCGCGCTCGCTTCCAGGGAGAAGAGGGAACATGGGGTTCCCACACGGGAGGGGTCATCTACCTGTTGTTGTAGATGGCCCTAGGTATGTTGGGGCACCAGGGACTTCCTTTCTAGGGTATACCTGGTTCCCCGGCTATTAGTACCCGAGACGGCGTGCGGTTTTAGTCGGTTCCAGTCCGACATGCCACCGATAGGTGGTATCCGAGTGGATTTCCGCACGGAAAAAAAAATAGGTGTGAAAGCGTGACACACGAACTTACTTTCACATTTATAATGTAAGTATAAATGTATCTATCACTGTATGTATGTAGTAGGTATTTTAATGTAAATATGGATTATTAATAAGTAAGTAAGGATTAGTAAAATTGCTGTAAGCGATAAGACCGCCCTTCGTACATTACATTTTGTTGTACGTTTAATTGCTTTATAGTGTCTGTAAAACCCTGGTGTAAAAGTATTATCTATCTGTCTAAGTCGACGCGCCGGTAAATCAAGATCCAGTTAAAGTAAATAAGTTTGTACTTGACATGATGATGCAGAACGTCATTGCTACTTGTGAGACTTGTTTTTATTAATAAGTAACAGATCCTTAATTGTGAGTACGACGTCACGAGAGTTACGAATAGATGCGACAATATCTCGAAACGCAGTTCATTCCAAGCCTTAAAATTATTGTGTAAGTGAAACTAATATCCATAATTACGTTGATAATAATAATTTTTAAGGCCTGGAATAAATTGCGTTTATTTATCCAGAAAAATATGGCAGTGGAACATAAAGAGTATAGTTTATTCTTTATCGTGTATATGGTTAGTTGGAAGACGGCTAAATTACGGAACATTACATGTCTAATATTTTTATGTACCATACTTTTTGTAGAACGGTGTACAAATAAAAAGTTTTCTATCATCTATCTATACATGAAACGGACACAAATCATGCTCAGCACACGATCATTGGCCTTGAACCCACGACCTCTGTCTCAGCAGTCAGGATAGCTACACCAACAGACCAATTAAAACAGTTTTTTCATGAAATATACTCTATTATGGCAGGTTATTGGTTTCACAAACGAAGTCGCAGAATCAGACAAACACGGCTAGGCATGGTCTTAGATTAACAGTTTATTATTTAGTTTATACAATCATTCTGTAATTAAAAACAGTTTATTTAATGGTGTGCAGCTGGCCAATTTAACATTTCTTTATATTCATATGTGACAAAAGATAAATAGATTTTATTAAACGGGTGTTAGGTGGGATTATGAGTCTTATAATAAAAACAGAATAGTTTTGTGATCTTGAGTACATAACTATTCTGTTTTATACATATACATACAGAAAATTTTATTTATTTAAACAACATTGGGACGGATGAAAAACAATTTAATTATAAGCTTTAATTTACCTTATTCATTTTTTTATGACAAAGGCTTGAGAACGTTAATGTGCCAGTTTGGAAAAATACTTAAGTTAAAATTTATTCTTAAAAAGTACTGAAATTTTATAACACTATTTTATAACCTTTATAATTTATAGACATTGTATGTGTGTGTATAGACTTATTGTAGTATGTATATAAATATTATAAATAAATATTAGGGGTTAAAGTATGAAATTGCTGATTTAAAGGAATGTTACAAGTGTGAGAGTGAACCTCCAACTAAGGGATGTATAGGAACTGCTATTGAGTAATATTCTTTAAATATTGTGTAGTTGATTGATGACAAATACCACTGGGCTAGACTTACAACCAAAAACTTCTAGCTATTTCTATGCAACTGTTTTATGCTAACGTTAAAGTGGTATGTGAGCAATATACTGAGTGAGACCCACAATGTGGGCCTTTGACAAGGGACGCAGAGAAACCTAGGAGATACAGATTACTAGAGATTTGACAAAGCTTTTGTTACTTAAAGCATAGCCACTATTTCATATAGAAAAGTGCCTTTAGAAAATTAAGTAGCAAAATATCTTATAAAGATAAATGTTATGATTTATTTTTTAGCGTTCCATGGATTCACAGTGCAGGTGCCTGGTCCTCCATAGTGTGATAGATAGGGCAACACATTCGACTTCAACAACGGCTTTGCGACTTAGGTATGGAATTACTATTACGAGAAGGGATTACTCCTTGCCACGCATCAGTGCTCACTTTCTAACCATATTTGATATTAGCCTAGCAATGCCGCTTTGGATATTTGTTCAGGAAAAGAGCTTACTGGAGCTGTTTTTAGTATATTTGTACGTAAAATCAATACATAAATATAAAAAGAGTACAATGAGAACCAGTTGCGGCAGATTACCAACACAAATTTCAAAATTGTGTGTATTTAGATGATTCTAAAACAGTTGCTGTTTTTACTTTTGTAGTTGTCTTTCTTGACATAGCAATTGTAAAAAAAAATTGGTTTATCAATAAACACATATCTTTATAAACATTAAGTGGGCTGGTATAACAAATTACAAATGCCTATATCTTAATCGGTAGAGTTGCTTTAAAAATTGAGGGTACCTCTGATTTGCAAATAAAGCTGTATAACTCCATGTAACAATGTAAAATAAAACATTTATTATATTCACATGTATTATTCGATAGTAAATGACACATTCTAAATAACTTAATTATTATACAAACTTATAAGAATTTTCTCATCCCACTTCTCAATATAATGGCCATGAGGAATGTTAGAAAACATTTTAAAATAGCTGGCTAACACCCCACAAGACCTTCGAAAGACAATGAATGCTTAAATAGTACACATCCTAGGCAAACCATGTAAAAATTACGAAGTATATATAATATTACTTAATTATTTAATTACTTACCCAATAGAGGTCTTCGTGGATCATCGGTGTCCATATTTCGGTGTGTTGTAAAAACGACAAGTGCACATGTCTGTCATTTTCTTATCTTATCATTCTAGTGATTTAACATTCATTTGTTATTGTTTATATTAGTTGCGATGTTGGTTATTTACTTCTGACCTATTATGACATTTAGTACACATTGTCATTTTGACGTCTACAGTGTTGCCATGTCCACACTAGTCGGATTCCAACAAACTTTTTTTTTATAAAGTTATAAAACTGTAGAAAAAAAGCCTCTAAATGGAATGTCGAGTGGTTTTTAAGAATTAGTATTAAAATTTTTGTTGTTCAATCTGTTAGGGAAGCTAGCTAAATATCCATTACCTTTGAAATGCAGTATGAGTAGTAAGGAGATGCGCTAGATCAAGACTACGGCTAATAGAAATAATTCAATGCCAGCTAGCCAGCATGCTTAAAGACATCCAAGGAGAATTTTTTATACACAAGGTAGTGAGTGTAATTCGTGTTCAAACCTAGGTTATGTAATAAAAAAAGGATTAAGGAGTAACAGTCCCAAACGCTTTTCGGTGGCAGATATTACAGTATACTGTATTAAAATATTATGTCATTTATAAATAATTCAATAAAAACAGTGTGCTTGTTTTGGTATGTTTGTGTGTGTCAGAGTGGGTGTGCGGGAGTGTGTGAGCTTGGGTGGGTGCATGCACCCATGCGTGCGTGTGTTTTATGTGTCATACGTATAAAGATATTTTTCAGTTTCCTTGTAGGAATTAACGCTATTACCAGGGCCGCCGGGTACAGGTGTGCAGAGCGTGCACCGCACACGGGCGGAATTTTCAAAGGGGCAGTAGTAACTTTATTGATTGGTGTACGAGACTAAATGCAAACGTTTCTAAGCTTTGAATTTTGAATCAAGCTTTGAATCACACAAGGTACGGGCGCGGGATTCCCAAATATCCCATAACGGGCCATAGTTTTACGGTCAAGAACTTATGCGGCGGCTTACTCCTAGCACGCCGTTGCTGCGGTGGTAAGACCCATTATGGAGGATTGGCTCGAGACGATACGAAATGAAGATGAAGAGAGACAAATACGAACTGATACATTGAAGAAAAAACATTATTTCGTGGGAGAGCCATGCTTTGGCACAAATGGGCCGTCTCGACCGGAGTGATACCACGGCTTCACAGAAAACCAGTGTTAAGGAAATCTTTTGTTGCTTTTCTTCGTGCGAGTAAGGTTACCGAGGCCCAAACGTTCCTGCCCTTTATTCCGGAAGAGGGGGGTTAAATCCTGTTAACACAGGTGTTCGCGGGTCGCCGTGGCATGATAATCTGTAGAATGAAATAGCATGACACGATATGCTACGGCGTCTCGCGGCATGCCACGACATGCGGCCGTTTAATTGTATGCGAGTAAAGAAATATTTTTAAATATATATTTTTAATATATTTTACTACATTCACACAACGCCATCTAGTCCCAAACTAAGCAGAGCTTGTACGATGGGTACTAGGCAACTGATATAAATACATATATATTTTTTTTGTAAATACTATACATAGATACACCCAGACCAAATCAAACATTAAATGTTCATGCACACAAATGTTTGAAATGAGCGGGAAACCCGCGACCTTTGGAATAGCAGTCCGAGACATACTACGTGATCACTCATAAGGGTTCACAGGCTGACTCACCAAAACCACATGACCACTGCCAATGTACCCTCGTCAAAATGTCAGTTAATTCAATACCGTGATATACCTATTATATGACTCCGTTATCCTTTATATTTAAAAAAATAGTAGGTATTTATATCATTAAAATTTTTCTTACATTTTTTAATTAATTAAGAGGGACGTCACGATTATTAGTTGGCAACATTGATTTCAGGAGTTCTACAATGACAGTCAATTGGTTTGTGCAGTATTTCATATTTCTTTCGTATCGGATTTTAAAAAACCCTTTAGCAGAAAAAAAACTAAATACAGCGCATTAGATGTTAATATTCGTATTTACTTACTTTCACTGAAATCGGGATCGATTGAAGGATATACTTAAAAATAACGATTTTTATTTTACAACAAACTAATAAGTAGTGCAGATTAGTAAAGTAGGTATTCAAGAACTTAACCAGAGCGACGTTAGTAATAATGCAAAATACCCAACAGCGTTTAAATGCCTATAAAATTACTTGTAGCTATGTGTTACAGTGTAGTACGTACTACAGTACACACACATACATCATTTTAAAAATCGAAGAAAACTCTTGTGGCCATGAGTTTGTTTGCATTTTCTTCTCATAAGGCTCAACCCCTTGGAAACGGGCGGTTGTGGATCGGCACAGGCATGTCATAGATTTTGTATAGGCATATTTTTATTAAAAAGAAATCCTAACTATTTGACAAAACAGAGATTGTTGCTATTGTGTGTTGTCTAAGACTTTTAAAGTCTACATAAAAGACGATTTCAAACAATTTTAATTTTTTTTATGAAATAAAGAAATTTTGAATTTGAATTTAAAATTACCAATATCGAATAACCCCAATGTTCTCTGGGCGCCTGGTGCAAACATTGTTAAGGTTACATCATCCACGATACTTTTATGCAAGTAGTTCAGTGCTGTCATCATCATCATCATCCCAGCCAAACGACTATAAGGCAGATTTTTTGAGATTTGGTATAAGGGGGCAAACGAGCAGACGTGTCACCTGATGGTAAGCAACTACCGCCGCCCATGGACACCTGCAACTCAAAAGTTACAAGTGCGTTGCTGCCTTGGAGTCCCTCCCGCTAACTCTAGGGAGGACTTGGGCTCCGGTATCCTCACTGACTAAGTTAAAGGCAACGAAAGAGTTGCTAAACACCGGTTGTCTGTGTGGCCGTGTCACTCCGGTCGAGCCGGCCCATTATTTTTTTAATTTATAATGCCATAAATTATTATTAGATGCTTTCTGAAAATGTGTTTTTTTAATAGGTACTCCATTAGAATAAACTTTATTTCTATTATTAGGGACTGATAGATAATCTTTTTACTTAATATAAAGTACATAAAAGAACAACAAACAATCATGACAAGAAGTATTTGCAGGTACAGATAAAAGTGAGTATGGAGTGGAGAAGAGTAGGTTTAGCTGACATCACGAGAGGCCCTGGTATCTTTCTTCGAAAACAGTTTAGTATATTTGCTCCCTTAGTCGACTTTAACAATACCCACGGGATGCAAAGGGGTGGTGACATTATGTATTCTTAATCCGTCTTTCTTATACTCAATACATTTATTGCATTCCATAATATGGTACAGTTGTCAAGCTTACAATTACGTTACAATTATGGACCCTTTTTTTTCGTACGGAAATCCCCTCGGATACCACCTATCGGTGGCATGTCGGACTCGAACCGACTAAAACCGCACGCTGTCTCGGGTACTAATAGCCAGGGAACCAGGTATACCCTAGAAAGGAAGTCCCTGGTGCAAACAATTATGGACCGTGTCGGGCACAGCCCAATGTTAGGAGGAAGAGTTTGTAACAATGACTATTTTTTGAGTCTAGACAAATTTTTAGATATATTTATTTTTAATCTATTTTTTTTCCATTTCAATTTATGTTGTAGATATACTTGCTATCATAGGTATCTGTTATGAATGTATACATACAAAAATTGGATTCACCTATAGTAAAGTTGGTGTTTTTAATTTAGTCAATATTACATTATATATTACATTATTATCCGTGTGGTGACGGATTAAGAATACAGAGTGTCACCACCCCATTCATGCCGTGGGTGTCGTAAGAGGCGACTAAGGGAGCAAACTACGCAGTACAACAGCACTGCAAAGAGAAGGAAAACTTGACACAAACCCTATATCAACCAGTCTAGGTAGCGTGGAATAGTAGGCCAAAACCTCCTTTCTAATTAGAGGCTGTTGATGATGATGATGATGTGACATTATATTAAATGTCATTCACATATTTATGTACAAAAATAAATTGGGTTAGTCTAATGCAAATAATTATCATTTCATACAATGTCAATTCATACAATGTCAACACAACACTAAATAACATTTGTTCTAATTTTGGTATTATAAGTTCATTATTGATTACGCTTTATGTATTATTCAATTATTGTTTAATGGAATATTCAAATGGAAACTAATATCATGGATTCTGCCAATAGTTTAGTGTATGTCATCCAAGTATTCTTGTATGCTGTAGTAGATGTTAATTTTTTCTTCTTCTTTTTGGACTCTGGCAACTTTTTACATTTTTTTATTGACATGACCAAGGAGCCCGAGGATTGCATTGTTAGACGGGAGGTTGGTAGGTTGAGTCTATTTTTGTGCCTTAGCGTTTATCTGGTCTGTATATTTTCTATAGTAGTGTAGTGTTCCGGGTATTCCCAGAAAATTTCTAGAATTTATATAGACGGCAAAGTTAATATTTTTTAGCTTTTGGAAATGGAGTTTATATATGTCTGTTTCTTTTATATTCACTAAAATTCCCATTAGTTTATTTTATTGATGTGCTATTTCCTCCAGGTGGAGTGACGATTTGCGCAAGATGGCTGGCAGGAGCTGGATGCGAGAAGCCCAAAATCGATCTAAGTGGCGTGCAATGGGAGAGGCCTATGTCCAGCAGTGGACTGCGATAGGCTGATGATGATTTCCTCATAAAATGACGCCATAGCTTAACGAAGAACATGCATAGGCGTAGTAGGTGACCAGAGCTATTGCCAGATCAGTAGTCTTCTTGACTTCCAGTAGTGCGTAGGAGAATTTTAAAATGTTTGCTCTCAGTCTTTTGACACGCGGCTTCCAGCTTATATGAGTGTCTATGGTTAAGCCGAACAAGTTGAATTGGTTGACAAATTCCAATTTGACGATGTATTTCAATTTTTAATAGTTAAGAACAGGTTTTTTTCCGTAATCATTGAAATATGTATGTTTTTTCCGTAATTGCATAAAAATGTTAAGTGTCGATGGTAATTACTCCTACTGACTAAGAACCGCTTTTAATCCCATTC